TGGTCTTGCCAACGCCCTCATGATGTCCACACTCAGTTCTGCCTTCATCTTCTCTGCCCTGAAGGTGGCGTTGCATGCAGGTGGCCACCCCCTCCTTGAGACACCTTTTCACGGGGCTTCCAGGTGACCTCTCCTGATTCTGTTCCTAGTTCCTAGTGGCTCCTACTCAGTCTCCTTCACAGGCTTCACCTTCTTTTCCTGACCTTTTATGTTTGGAGTGGTCCAGGGCTGGGTAATGACCTTTGGCTCATTATCTACACTCCCTCCCTCATGATTTCACTCAGTCTCGGGGTTTTAAATGCAGCCTGTGTGCTGTCAGCTTCCAAATGCAGTCTCCCCCGCCCACTCTCTCCCTGTCTCTTGCCCAGACTTCCTTCTTCAATGCCAGATTCACATGCTTACCTGCTAATGCAGCGGGACTCGGTAAATATCTAGATTTAACACGACCAAACTGAACTCCCATATTCCGCCTGAAACCTGTTCTACCCCATTCTCGTCTCCGTGAAGACAACTCTACCCTTCCAGTGGCTCAAGCCAAAAACTTTGGGGTCATGTTTGCTTCTTCTCTTTCTCAGCCCTTCTTCCGATATATTAGTAAATGCCGTCTGAGTTTTCTTCAAAATACTGTCCCCAGGCTGACCACTCCTTTCCACCTCCACTGCTCCCACCATCATCTGGTGAGAGACTCCGTCACCTCGCCTCTGATAGTTGCCATGGCCTCCTGCCTGGTCTCCTTGTCCCCGCCCTTGTCCCTCACCCTCTACAATCTGTTCTCAGCAGAGTAGCCAGAGTGATTCTTTAAAAATATAAATCAGTTACCTCTGCTTAAAACCCCCAACTGGCTTTCTACCTCATGCAGCATAAAAGCCCCTGTTCCGTCAGGGGCCCCCTCTCCGGCCCCACCTTTCTGACCTCATCTCCCCTCCACCCCTCTTGTCCACTCCTTTCCAGCCACACAGTCTCACCTCAGGGACCTCCCTCCACGGGAAAGCTCCCTCCCTGGGAACCTGCCTGGCTCCCTCCCCATCGCTTCCATCAGGGGTCTGCCCTTCCATGGCCCCCCAACACCAAAGAACCACGTCCCCCCAGTCTCAGCACTCTGTTTTCCCCATCCCTGCTCCCATGTTCTCCAAAGCACTATGCCATCGGGCACCTTAAATATTTATTTCTTTTTGTGTCTTCTTGGATGGTCTTCCCTGACCGGCATGTAATTTCTGCTTGGTTCACGGCTGTGTCTCCTTGTCTATAACTGCACCAGCTTCGGTCAGTATCCAGAAGGTGTTTGCTGAGTGACTCTGTCCAGCTGGAGAGCTCACACTTTCACGTGAGGGACTGGGTCTTCTAGGTCTCCATATCTTTTGGAAAGAAGTAAAGTATAAGTAAATAATTTTGTAAGTAAATACCCAGCTGGTCACTCTGAATTTCAGGGTTCTCATCTGTAAGACGAAGATGACAGCACATTTAGCACACGGGTTGTGAGGATTCACTGATTTTGTAGATGGACAACACTATGTACCCTGTCGTCTTAGTTTTCTTTCTTTTTTTTTTTTTAAGATTTTATTTATTTGACAGAGACACAGCGAGAGAGGGAACACAAGCAGGGTGGAGAGGCAGAGGGAGAGGGAGAAGCAGGCTTCCCATTGAGCAGGGAGCCCGATGTGAGGCTCGATCCCAGGACCCCGGGATCATGACCTGAGCCGAAGGCAGACGCTTAACGACTGAGCCACCCAGGTGCCCCTGTCGTCTTAGTTTTCTATTGCCATGTAGCAAATTACTCCCCAAACTTAGCAGCCTAAAAAAGGTAATTATTTGCCATCTTGCAGTTTCTGTGGGTTAGGAATTCAGGAGCAGCTTGGCTGAGTGATTCTGGCTCAGAGTCTCATGAAGTTGTAATCAAGCTATTGACTGAGTTGGTGGTGATCTGAAGGCCTGGCTGAGGCCTGAGGATCTGCCTCCAGGATGGCCCACTCACTTGGCTGTTGGCAAAGCCTCAGTTCCTCACTGTGTGGACCTCCCAACGTGGCCGCTTGAATATCCTCACAACATGGCAGCTGGCTCCCCCCAGAGTGGGTGAGCCAAGAGAGAGACCGGGATGGAGCTGTCCTGTCTTTTATGACCTAGTCTCAGAAATTGTACACATCACTCCTTAATGTGTTTGTTAGAAGCAAGTCACTAAATCCTGCCCACGCCAAAGGGGAGGAACATCAGGCTCTACTTTTTGAAGGGACTGCCAAAGAATTTGTGGACATATTTTAAAACCCACCCCCATGAAGCACCATGAGAGAGTTAATTAATGTTGCTCTTAATAGTTATAATTCATTGTGTACTGTTGGCCATGCTAAGTGCATTCTCTTTGTCAGATTCAAGGAAGGCTGTTGTCTCTCAGATCCTTTGTGCCTCCTGGATTCTAGTGTGCCTGTTAATTGGCTGACAGATAATTCACAGGCAGTCTTTTCTGTCCAGCTAGACTGTAGGCTCCCTGCTGTCTCTGGCCGGTCTCAGACTTCTGCTGTATCCTGGCACAGGGAAGTTTTTATGTAGTGATGGCTCTTTCCAACTGTGGGAATATGATTCCAGAATTGTGACTCTTCATAAAAATGGTGAGGTGAGGCAGAGGAGTTGGCATGTTGGAAAAGATGATGACCTTGGTGTTGGATACATTTAGTTTGAGGTACTTAAGAAGCGATTAAACAGAGCCACTCAGAGGGCTGTTGAAATCTGAATTCTATAGGGAACAAGGAAAACTGAAGAGTATCATCCGCACAGAGGTAACCACTGAAGTTGTGCAAAGAATGAACTTGCTGAGGAAAAAGTGAAGGGACAGGGAAACGTAAGGGCAGAGCCTTGGGGTTGGGGGAGGAAGAGAAGGTGGTAAGCTGAGTGGGCAGGAGGAAGCAGAGTCGTGGAAAACAAGCAGGAGATTCCAGAAAGGCGATCTGCCCTTGCAAAGAGGTCTGAAAGGGTAAGGGTTAACAGGAGGCTACTGACAGCCTTCCAGGGTGTGGTTTCAGAGCATGGGGAGTTCATAGACAAGATTTTAAGGCGTTAAAGGATGCATGAATTGTGAAGAAGGAAACACAAAGCGTGTCTCTTGGGGTGTTTTAAGTGAAGAGGGAGAGTCGAATCGCTTGAGACAACAGAGTTGAGTGGCGGTTCGTCTTAAGTTGGATGACCCGCAAGGGAAAGCCACTGGAGAGGGAGAGCCTGAGATGTCAAAGAGAAAAGTTTGTTTGAGTCGAGTTTCACAGGCAGGGGCTGGAGGAGAAATGAAGGGCACATTAGCGGGGGGTTGGCTTGGTGAGAAGGGCAAGGAAGCTTGCCAGCAGCTACCTGGGATCAGGATCCAGGACGGATGGGGAAGACGGGGGAGCGCTGGGGAGGGTTGGGGAGAGGGGAGAGTTTGGAAGAAGCCTCCCAGAGAGCACAGGAGAGGTCCACAAGATCCACCAGAGGCTTCCTGGGACGAGTGGTATGAACGTATGGTGGATGTCGCCTGCAGAATTGTGTGACTTTTGTCTAGGGGCAGGAAATGAAAATGAAGAAAGTGGTCTGTATCGGTTTTCGCGGCTTGGGGATATGCCCCAGTCTGGTGGAAGGTCCAGGAAATTAAAAGTTCTGTTCTGTCTCTAAAGATGGGTGGTGGGTGAGTTCTCAGTCAGTGGGTGACATACAAGTACGCACACAACACCTGCACAGGATACCCGTAGGGTTACGAGCACCTGATGTGACAGCGGACATTTCTTTCTTTTTTTTTTTTTAAAGATTTTATTTATTTCTTTGACAGAGAGAGCGAGCGAGAGAGGGAACACAAGCAGGGGGAGCGGGAGAGGGAGAAGCAGGCTTTCCGCGGAGCAGGGATCCCGATGCGGGGCTCGATCCCAGGAACCTGGGATCCTGACCTGAGCCGAAGGCAGACGCTCAATGACTGAGCCGCCCAGGCGCCCCGAGAGCAGACATTTCTAATTTGTGTAAAGGCGCTGCCCACTCACCGAGCTGGACACCAGTGGGCCTGGAGCCCAGAGGGCTGGTCCTTTCCTAATGGGTGCCACATAGGCTGGCTTGGCCCTGTGTGCAGGTGCAAAGACCAGTGGACTCAAATTGGGGCCAGGGAGAAGGGAGGGGTTGGATTTCTGAGTGCGAGTGGAAGGCTGGTCCTGTGGGTGTGAGAGTGGGGGGTGGGTGGGGGCAGGGCCGGGTGTCCGAGAAGGGAAGTTCAGATGTTGAAGTCATGAAGTGAAACCATTCTGAACGATGCGGGCCAAGGCAAGGCCACGCTGCTGAGCATCCGAGATGAGTCCAGAGGACCCTTGTCAAACCGAAGTAACAGTTTTATAGAACAGACGAGACCGCCTAAAATAACAGGGGCCCGGCATCTGGGGTGGATGACTCAGGCTGCGGTGGAACTTTCTAGTATTGGCAACAGCCAGCCGCTCAACATATTCAACAAATATTTACTGGCTCCAGACTCTCTGCTTCTAGATGCTTGGGATATAGTGGTGAACGAAACAGATCAAGATCCTGGAGCTCTAGCACATGCCCTTAGATTTACATGTTTTAATGACAAAAATGTAACTGTGTACCTTACTGAGATAACCTGACTGGAAAGACAGGTTTTGTAACAGGGTTTTACTGTCCTCGGCTCACTGATCCCCTCTCGGAGAACCTTCCACACCTCTGTCACCCTGAGTGCCGAAAGCAGCACATTGACTTTGGCTTTACCTTCAGGGACCCAGTTTCCCTAAACGTGGAATTACAGAGGATATGGTTAAATGCGTTTTAAAAAAAAAAAAGGTAGTGTTGACCATCCTTGTTTGGGGAGCACGAGAAGATCAGGAATAGAGTGGGCTGACTCCACTCCTGTGGACTGGGCTGGGATTTGGGGGACGGGGAGCCATGGCGAGCAGAAGCAGGCTCTAGGGTGGAAGGGGCCCCGTGGCCAACGGAGAGGAGGCTGTGGGGAGAAGCAAGCAGGTGTCAGACTAAAACTCTTCTTGGCCAAGGTTCCCGTGACGTTTGTCGACATCGCTGTTTACTTCTCTGAGGATGAGTGGAAGAACTTGGACGAATGGCAGAAGGAGCTTTACAACAACCTTGTTAAGGAGAACTATAAAACCCTGATGTCCCTGGGTAAGAGCCCCTTCCCTCCTCCAGGGCAAGCAGTCTGTGCAGAGGGCAGTAAAACGCTTATCAGCCTGGGCAAAGTGTTTGTGTTCATCCCTAATGGAAATGCAAGTAACTATCTGCTCATAACGCTATAAAGAAAGAATGAGTATAACAAGATGACAGTTAGAAACCCAGTAACAGGGCCTGTCACTATAGCATTGAGCACTGCACTGCTTTTGTTCTGGAACACGGCCAAACTGCATCATTGGCATGTGACTACACGCTGCCTCCCCATGGATGAGCCTCAGTCTGTCTGCTGTTGGCTTTCGGAGTCCTGCTATTTCTACGCTGGAAATTGGGCGTCTGTTGGCTTGTTTTCAGGGTTCCTTCTACGAGATGAGCTAACATAGGTATCGGCGACCACCGAGAGGGGCTCTCTGCTGGGGAGGGGGTCTTGGGTGGGGGAGACTTCTGCGGCTGCCCTTGATCGGGATCCGTTGGTCAAATTCATTGTGTGTGCTTCCTTCCCCTCCAACTCATTCCAGACACGGAGGGTGCAGTGCCCAAGCCAGATGCTCCATCCCAGGTGGAGCCCAGGGAAGAGCCTTGCGTGTGGGAGCAGCGTGACCCAGAAGAGAGAGAAATCTTAATGGATCCAGACACAGGTGATGGCAGCTGAAAAGAGCCCCAGGTCCAGGGCAGGGCAGGAGAGGAGCCGAGGAGATGTAGTTCCTGACAGTGCTGTCCCTGGTCAGCTCTCGCTGGAATGGAAGGTTCCAGGGCTATAGTCCTGGCTGTGCCCCGGGGGCCTTTCGTCAGGCCCTCAGCTCTCCTGAGTGCAGCCCCTGGTGCAGCCGAGCCTAAACTGTGTTCTCTGCCTTATCATACAAACTCTGCCCTTCTTCAGGAAGTTCCTTTTTTTTTTTAAAGATTTTTTTTTTTAAAGATTTTATTTATTTATTTGAGAGAGAGAGAATGAGAGACAGAGAGCATGAGAGGGAG